CTATGAGATGATGACTTTTAGGTGGTACTTGGATGCTTTGGTTGGATTAGGGGTGGTACTTGGTCCAAAAAGTTTGAGAACCACTGTGCTACACAATTGTATTGTTGTTGTTGTTTTTTTTTCCTCTTTGTACTACTTATGTCCGAGAGCTAGCTAAATAGCATTTCGTTATACCATGTATATGAGTGTAATGACAATAAACTTGAACTTGAACTTGAAAACACGAGTGCTTGAGTAAAATAGCAGGTGTATTGAGATCACTGGATTTTCAGTGATTTCACACGGATGTGACCTTTAACACTCATGTAAGTCAGTTTCTTAAATCCTTGTCGATTAGGGAAACTGAGCTTCTGGCCATCTGGCAGCTCCACCTCAAATCCACTGGCACTGAAGTTAATGACCACCTGGAGAGAGAGGGAGGACAGGAGGTTGATTGAGAAAGTGTGAAACACCACAGACCCCTCCATCTCCTCTAAAGCCTGACGTATGCTCTGATGTCCACTACTGAGAGAGCAATGATCTTACAGCAGTGCCCCAGGAGACAACTGTAGGAATTATGTGTGAACCCTAATAAATTTAGCATCAATATCAGCTAAAATAAAGATAAACAGTTATGCTTTATTTACTTGGTAACTGCATAGTTTTAAAAAAGGTCTGACTGATCTCTTGGTTAATAGGTTGACCTTCAATGACCAATTCCCAAACTCCAACTGAGTTGAAGCTCTTCAGGTTTGGACTGGGTTTGAGTCAGGGGCAGAGTCGGGACTCCTGCACACCTGGACAGCCAACCCTGATGGCAGCCTGCTGCAGATAATGATCTGGGTTGACACCTTGCATCTATAACCTAAATTCTAGTTTTAAAGTGCATTTTGTTTGATCAATTTTGTAAGTGTAACCTGTTTCAGAAAAATATTAAAATAACTATAGACACAAGTGGCCTCATAATCTAACAATTACAAACATGAAAGAATTCCCTTTTCTTTACGTTTCAGAAGTATTTCTGTGAAATCTGCTTAAAGCTACTGGTCTGATGACTCTTAACTGATGAAGACTCTGAAAGAAACAGCCGATGCCCAAATGACGTTTCCACTCCGTAGAAGAATCTTTCCTCAGATCCACCTCTCTGTCTGAATACACGGGCACATTGCTCTCCAAACACACAGGTACTGTATTTCCTGATGAATATGCTCTGCTGCTGACCGGCTCTGAAGACATGTGTTGTGTGTTGAACAGTGTGTGTGTGCCCTCTGCTGGGCAGGGGAATGTGCAGACGTGTACTCCGTCCTTGAGGGGAAGAGTCCATGACGCCCCCAGTCCTCACCTTGGTGTCTGTGCCTTGCTGGAAGGGGAAGTTAGAGTATCTCTGCTCAGACTGCCAGCAGCCTGCATGTCTGGAGTTCAGCACAATGGTCCTGCTCCCTGGACCACTGAACTGTGACTTGAAGTGCAGGGCCAGGTCCTCCTCTTTCTCCCCCAGACTGACCTCAAACCTGTGAAACACAGGATCTTGGTAACAGCAGCCTTTTACCGCAAAACAAAATATATATAAAATCTAGAACTACTTAAAATAATTTGATTATCATTATACTATAAGCCAAATTAAATCTGACAGAAAAGACAAACTTTGAATGCTCTAAAATGTATGTTTACAAGTTATTTTAGAGGAAGTCCAATGTATTAAGTTGTAATGTTTGTATTATTAATTGTGCTAAACTGCTGATAGATAACTATCAGCAACGGTCAGATAGATAACTAACTCTAGAATCTGTACCAGATTCTGTTAATAGAAACAGTTCACATCCCATAAAAAAAACAAGCGTGATGCTAATGTACTGGCACTGCTCAGTATGTTTATACATACTCTTTGACAGATGCACAGATCTTCATTTTGATTGTCACACTTCCTCCTGGTGTCAGACTGATGTTTTTGGCTTCATACTGTTCCTGTAATGGGGACAATGTTAAAGAGTTACTACATTGGTTATAAAGACAATAAATGCACAATAAATTGACAAATTAAAAAAAACACCTTTTATTCACTTGAACTTAATCTTATGAGGCATTTGGAATCCTTTGTTTATTTTATAGTCAACAACTGTTGATCAGTATGGCTGATCAAACAAGACAAATACTTCCACACCCCTGGAACTGACTCACTGATCAGAACTTCACCATGGAGCCCGACAAAGACCCAAAACACACAGCCACTACAACCCAGGAGCTCCTCAGGAGAAACAAGTGGAAGATCTTTGAGCAAGGCAACCAACTAATTTGGACACTGAAGTCAGAGCAGCCCAACAACAGGCTGCACCTCAAACAAAGCAAAGCATCTCAAAAGACCACACAGAGCCAAGTCAGCTCAGTGGGTCACAAACGTCACAAACTTATTGCCTCAAAGGATATACTGAAAGTGTATGTGTCCCAGTGCTTTCTGTCATGGAGCTGAACACAAGGAATGATTTTATTATGCAAAGAAACATTTTCATGGAATTACACAAAATCTATCAATCTAAATATATTGTACTTGTTCATATTAATCTCATGATTACAGATATAAAATGCTTGACTGTCAAGGCAGAAACTCCAATTAAAGATCAGCAAGCACTGTCATACAGTAGATCACTGTGTTATACTGGATAATAGAGCAGCTCCCTGTGATTAATATGAAGCTATTGATTACAGACAATGCCTACAGAAAGTCTACACACCCTTTCCAAAGCAACACATTTGGTGGTCTAACAGCTTGAAATCAAGACACATTAAATCAAAATTTAGTTTTAGATTTATTCATAGTGTAATACAGAAACTGCACATGAAAAAACGCTCAAATATCCCGGAAAGAATTACAAATGAAAACCTAGAAAAATGTTTTGTATAGGTGTCCATAACCCTAAGTCAAAATTTAGTCGAAGCACCTTGTGCATGAATTACACCAATAATTCTGTTTGGATTGTTCTGTACAGATCTCAGTAGTCATGTCAAATGTAAGTAATAATGTAGCACAGCTACATTTGGCAACACTGCCAGAACCTACAGAACTGTTCAAGCTCAGCCATGCTGCAAGGGCACAGCTGATGGACTGAGACGAGAGCTTCAAGTCATTCCACAATTTTCAATTGGATTGAGGTCAGGGCTCTGATTGGGATTTTTAAACTTTCTGCTTTTAGCAAGTCCACTTGGCTGTGTTGCTTTGGCTGTGTGCTTAGGGCCACTGTCACTCTGTCCCAGATTCAGGTTCCTTGCAGAGGCCAGGAGGTTTTCTTTACAAGTTCGTCTGCATTTTGCTCCATTCAGTTTCCATTCACTCCTGCCCAGTGCCAGTCCCTCCTCTAGAGAAACACCCTCATTATAGAATGCTGCCTCAACCGTGCTTTCCAGTAGGGATTGTGTTCAGTAGGGATGGTGTTCAGTAGGGTGATGTGCTGTATTTTCACCAGACGTAACATTTTGCATTTAGGCCACGATATTCTATCCTGATTTCACATGGCAGCAGAATCTTCGCAGTGTTATTTTGAAAACCTCAAACGACACTCAATATGGACTTCCTGAGAAGTGGCTTTCATCTCTCCATCCTCTGTTGTAGCCCAGTATTGTGACACTGGTCAATCTTTGACATTTGGCCACTAGATTTGTGGTGGCCTCTCTGATGCCTTGTCTTCCATTTTGGAGGGATGGCCTGATCTAGGCAAGGTCTTGATCTTGGTGTTCCCACACGCCTTCCATATCTTAATGATCATACACACTGTGTACCAAGAGATATTTAAGACCTCTGAGAACGTTTTATACTCATCTCCTGCTTTATATCTTTCGTCAACATTATGCCAGAAGACTTTTGGGTTCCTTGTTGGCTTTGGAGGCACTGCACTGCAGCATTGTACATGCAGCAGATTGATGTATACACCAGATGATGCAAAACGATCAGAGAATCTACACCATTTCCTTGGTTGCACTGTATTCACTGCATATATTCTAAACTGATTTTAGTTTTCTGTATACAAATTACAAACAATAAATACAAACATTTAAGGCTATTTTAAATTCAGGTATTTAAATCTTCCAGGTGAAGAGATGAGCTACTTAGGACAAAAACACTATTTACTGAGGTACAATACTGTACTACAAATAATAAAAAAAAACTGTACAAAGAAATTGATCAAGGAGAATCAAAAATTAGAAAACAGCCATAAAAACAATTTCAGATCTTTACAGAGGAAATGAAGAAGACAGGGGCATCAGTAAGATATATAAAAATAGATTAAATAGAAGGTAGAGCACAACCCAACTGGACCACGTCTGTGTCATAATGAAGAGACTCCCTCTGTCCTGATGTGAAGTATATACTGTAGGACCATAAAGACAATGTCTCCTTCTTTCTACAATAACAGCACTGCGACTCGAAGACAACCAATCACCTCCCGGATACAACAACCCAGAGTCACCAGTGAATAAGGGCAGAAGTGTATACAACAGTATAATCCTGTCTGATGAATTGTGTAGTTTCCTCTGCCCTGTTCCCCTGAAGGAACTACATTTCCCAGCAAGACCAGGGGGCTCATCCGCCCATTTCCTGGGAGAACCTCTAGCAATGACACTCTCCCTCAGTGTACAGAAGGCAGGGCAAGCACAGCTCTCTGTCTACTGTCTCCAGGACCACTGGGATAAAGGAATCCTGTTGGCACTAACAAAGACATTAAAAACAAGATACAGAGAGAAAAGGATCTGGGGGAATCTCTAGAGCTCTTTATCCATCGTTTGACAAAGGATAAAAATAAAGTTGTTTGAGCAGCTCTATCCAGAGCAGCAACATCCTAAACCTGACAGTTTTATACATCTGTACCTCAGTATTTAATACTAATAATATCACACGTCACACAGGGACAGGACAGCACAACACTCATGTCAACAGGACTTACAGGAGTCTGCAGGGTGGACAGAGCAAGATCCTGTGAAAGAGATAGAGAAATACAGGTTAATGAATGAATAGTGAATAAGGCCAGAAGTGCAGAAACACACAGTGGACTGGTTTAACACACTGGTCTGTATGTCCTCATAGTGACCAGTGCTCACTGTGTGTCCAGTGAACTGGTTTAACACACTGGTCT